CCGAAAAAAAGTAATTTTAAAAATGAAACCCCAATTAAAGTTTAATAACAAGAGGTATAAAAACTATACCCACACTGCCATCAACCCTGATATACCCCCTACTGATTACCACATATACCCATCATTTCTAATGTCTGTGAGAGAAATGGTGTTAAAAATGGCAGATGTCATCAAATCGGGGGTGTCTTCAGATTGTGGTCTTAAAATCAAGTTTAATCTTCAATTAGGAAATTGAAAAATTGGTGACACAATGGCAGATAGTTGTCGATAATGATAGAGAATATATCATTGATTAAAGTTAATTATCTTAAGAATAAAATTAATTAACATTTTGTATAAGAAAATAGTCATGACTTTTTTGGGGCCCTGATATTCTTCGTGTATAATTAATTGCATGCAATTATAGTTACTATAAAACCACTGATTATTAATCACTGATGAAATAATTATCACTTAATATTAGTGATAATCGATTTTGAGTCCACTTTTTATTTAAGTTTATATTTAAGAATATATTTTATCGATAATCGCCAGACTATATATAAGTTGGCTTTTGGTTTCATATAATGCTTAACCAATTCGTGAATTCTAGCAATTATTCAAATAATACAAATTATTTTACTATTTTAAAAATTATTATTTTATGAAATAAAATGAACGACAAATATATAATCAAATCTCCCCTCCCGTCGGTAGACATATCGCTTATCTCTGTCGGAGAGTTTGCATTAAATTACTTGCAAAAGTTGGATCAAAACCACAGGTGTATTGTAAGTGTTGATTAAAAATACACATAATTTGCATCATAAAAGTTTGATATATTTACAAGATTGATCAAGATTACCACTATATTTAGACTTTCTCAGTCCTTAGAATTAGAGATATAACGAATTTATAATTAATTTACATTAATGCAAATAATATGCCTTATGTTAACTGATAGATCGACGCCTGTCTGGAGTCCAAATGGCTGACCGTCGGTGAGCTAATAGCTTCAGCCCAAGCGGTGGCCACAGCCCTACTGGACAGGGGTCTCACCAAACAGGATTTAATTGTCACGTTTGCCAACAACTGTGTGGAGCACTCAGTACTGGTATTCGCTGCCATTTTGCTGGGCGTTACGATATACCCGATCGGACCCGTGGCTAATGTGCACGAGTTAAAAACCCTATTGCCTACATTGGGCCCATTGGCGCTGTTCACCGATCGAGACAAATCGATTATTGTAGACAAAGTGCTCGCATATCCGGACATCAAAATTCAGTCCAAACTAACAGTGATGTTGGATGGGTTGGGCCGGAAGGACACGTACGTGCAGTTCAGTGAGCTTTTGGCTGAGGGTAAGGACCGAGAGTTGTCCAAAATCCCACATTTCTCGGTCGATCCCGAGACCGATATATACATAATGCTGCAGAGCTCGGGCACAACAGGAGTGCCCAAATCGGTACTAGATAGCGTGGCCCGCAAACACCGGTTGTATATGACGTTATATATGCTGTCTAGCGTAGTGAACTTAGGTGAATAAAAGTCGCTTTAGTGAGGTAAGCCCAGGTAAAGTCCGGTCAAAATAAATATGACTTATCTACTAATTGGTGGCACTTTTGTAATGTACAGCCGGATGTCTGAAGAGGCTGTATTGAGCTCGGTGAATAAGTATGGTATTAATACCATGTTTATTACCCCGTTGTTTGCCAGTAGACTCATATCGGAAAGTTATTTCCATACATATAACTTGTCTAGTGTTAAACTGATTATGTGCGGCGGCGCAGCCCTTCCCGCAGAAGTATCCCAGAAATTGGTCAATCAATATGACATTAATTTACATGAAGGCAGGAATCTCTCTCTCTCTCTCTCTCTCTCTCTCTCTCTCTAACTTGTAAGTAACTAAAGTGTATCAAAACACATAATAGCCTACGGAATGACAGAATACGCTCCCATCACTCACTTTACGAGTGCCGAGCGCTGGAATTTCATACCCGGATCTGCGGGACAACTCTCGCGTAACACTGAGGTTAAAATCGTCGATACGAACACTGGAAACAGTTTACCCGCCAATACAGAGGGACAGATATGCGTGAGAGGACCCAAACTTTTTACCGGATATCTCAATGTCGACGCAACCGATGACATAGACTCCGAGGGTTGGCTCCGGACGGGAGATATCGGACATTACGACGAGAGGCACCGACTATTCATTACAGACCGGATCAAAGAGTTGATCAAATGGACGACATATCAGGTCTCGCCCACAGAATTAGAGCTCTTCCTACAGACACATCCATCGGTGGCCGAAGTGGCCGTTATTGGTGTCAGTCATCGCACTGAGACTCAGTGGCCGCGGGCTTATGTGATCCGAAGGCCCGGCTATACGACCACCGCTCAGGAACTGTGCCAATACGTGTCCGGTATGTGTGTTGTGTTTTGTTATGTATTATACACTGATTTTAACGGTATTTATGTGTTTTTTTTTTGTAGATTCCGTGGGCTTTTCTAAGCGCCTGAGGGCTGGTGTGGTGTTTATCGATCACATCCCGAGGACTAACATCGGAAAAGTGGACCGAAAATATTTCAAACAACTGGTGGCCAACGAGTTGTTGGACTGAAAACAAATTGTGTCAAAAATGATTAATATTATTCTAATTCAATGTTTAATAACCCATTGAATAGATAAAGATCTAAAATAAAAATTTAAACACCAATTTTGATATAAAGATTGTATTTAATTATTAAATTTATTAACACTTGATATGTAAAGTAACACTTTATAACTATAAAATTTAAGTGAACATGATGATTTATGACTTTGAAAATTTATTTGGTTAAACAACTTAATAATCAACTTAATTGTTATAAATTTAAGTACAGTAACTAATGATTGCATAACACTATGAACGTGGTCTCAAATTGATAACATTGCAATTATAGGCTGATAAAATACTTGAATCTATTTGTCAACGTGTGATATATTAATATTAAATTTACTTAAATCTGTTGTATTTTAAAAATTATAAATCTCTGCCATAAGAGGTCCGAAATAATGTTTACAATGTTTGTAATATCGTTGCCATATCTTCATTTCCATTTCACTTAATGTGTTTAAGTCTCTCAATAAAAACATCAGTGTTTGTAGTTTTACTCCCGATTCAGAATCCGACCGATATTTCCATAATAAATATCTTTGCAGTAAATATATATACAGTTTTTGTTCGAGTCTAACAAATACAGCAATTATTAGTATTAGTAGGTATTTGTATAATCATAATAATTGTCGATAATTTAAATAACAACTTACTTTACACTATATTTATGTATTAGATTCGGTCGATTCGGGTTATAGAAAGCGATTGCCGTTAACTATATGTTTGTAAAATATTAAATGCAATTAATTAAAAGTGATGTTGAACTATAACAATAAAGTTTGATATCTTATTAAGGCTTGAGAACATCTCATATTTGCTACAATTGTTTATGACTTTTCTGACTAAATAAAACTTTTTTTTAATCAATACGTGATATTCTCGAGCCTTACAACATATGAAATGACTCAATAATTGACCAGGTTAATTGCGATTGAATCTCCATGGTTCCATTCATCAACTATTGCGTTCAGCATTGTCGTAATATGATTATAATAGAGATCGTTCAATTGAAATATATTCAAATTGAACTTGACAGTATTCATTTGATCCTAAGAAATTATAAGCAACATTTATTTACATATAAATTACCGTTACAAAATGGAAATATTTTATTATATAAACTACAATTTCACACTAAATTATAGATCAAATAAAATATTTAATAAAATGTATTGACTCACTAAAGGGATGTAAAAATTCTCTGCGCTTTTATCATAAAGCTTTATCGTGCGAATTGTCAGCAAATCATTGTAGCCGTACTTCATTAGCGCCACCCTATCATCCCTGCATATCGTACTGAATCCGGACAATGATTTAGCAAAATTGACCATGGTCAACACTCCATCCTCTTGTCGAGAGCCACACGTTTGTATCATTTCGTCTAAACTGTTCGCTCGGATTATATTATCAGACAATTTGTAATTTAACATAAGGGCAGCGCTCGTCAGTTCCCGTATCCGCTTGTTTTCCAATTCATTCAAACCGTTATAATCCGTGATTTCCCTAAACATGGGAACAATTGTCATGTTTTCGGGCTTTTCCTTTATATCTGTCGTCACCACAAGTGTCTCATTGGATGTAATGTCTGTAACACTGTTTTCAATGTCTGTAATCTCATCTAAATTTATGTCAATTGAATTGTCAAACAATTCATTCAAAATGTCTTTCTCTTCATTTTCATTAAAAATGATTAAATCATTTGAAGGATCGACAGAAGAGACCGAAGAAATCGATAAATTGGCCGAATTATCACATTTTCCTACTTTTAGTTTATTTTCACAAATAATATTTTTTCTCTCATTTGTGTCATTAGTTCGGATCAATTCCTATTAAAAACATAATTAATATTACAACTAATTATTTACAAATAAAATCATAAATACTTTTTTCATTCCAACGGCAAAACACTTTTCAAGTCTACATTTTCTGCACAAACTTCTGGTCATTACATTGATATCGCATTTGCCATTTGAGGCACAACTCAATTGCTAAATATATAAATGATTTTAAATAACAATCAGTTAATTTAATTTCAATTATAATTACATTTTTAAGGCCAGTCCTCCTGAAGAAGGCTTTACACGAATTACAAGTCATGGCACCAAAGTTTCGGGCTATACTGCAGTACATGCAATATATTGTTAATTTAACACTAATTATAGCAGCTAGCATAGTTTTCTAATTCATTTACCACGTCCTCTATCACCGCAAACATCACATATTTTTAGCATATTGTTTGACAATCATATACTTATTGTCTTATATTAATTATATATCAATAACTTTTAGTTTGTCTTAAGTTCATAAATATATCAAAGTCAAAACAACAAATACCATGTTTACTAACCGCATAGCCAATAGAACTTTAAGCAACATATATTTGCAGTACAATTGCATGTGAATTATTGTAGAAATAAAGCCATCAAATTGTGTGCAAATATGTCAATAGTTGTATATTTTCTTCACATTATTCTTATGATTGTAAGGCTTTATATGATTATTAATCTGGACTACAATTCTTATCCATTGAAAGTAATGTTAAAACTTATTTATGACATTAAACTTAAGCATTGAAAAATGTATTTCAAATTATTGAAAAACAGTCATTTTTGTGATTTTTATATCAAATGCTATCAAATACTATGAATGAGTTTTAACATTATTTTCAATTGATAAGAATAGTATTCTAGATTAATATTAACGATGCTATTAACCACATTATTCATACTGAATTGTGGTTAAAAATAGAATTTTGATAACTTGAAAAAACTACTGTAGGTTAATAATGATAGACAAATAATTTTTAATGTCTTTTATTGATATGATTATTCTATGCTTTTCTATGAACAATTCTTGCCAAACAAGCATGCACATTCTACGTATAGTGTTAATCCTCTGCTTGCGATTCCTTTACACTCTCTATATTTAGCGAAAGTATTGATTCCTCGTATTCTGTAATTATATTCTTTAATAATTGGTTGAATCTCTTCAACGATTGCTTCAGACACTCGATTTGATCCATAATTTGCGGCACATTTAGATAGGGATGGTTCGCGTCGTTCAACACATTGTCAGTTGTCTTACTTTCATCGGTTCCGTTATTAAAGGGCAGAAGGTTTTGGCCGATTATTGATGTCTTGATAAGTTTTGCGGCGTTTAGTATGTAATTAATGTCGTATTCCTGACAGATATCCTGAAAGAGAGTCGGTATGAGAATCGTGTTGTCAGTGATGTCTATCTGAAGCAATGTTTCGGATATCACTTTTAGCAGCGATTCGTCGTTTTCTGTCACAAAATTAAGACTTTTTGATTCGCCGTTATTCGCGGCGTTTGAACACATTGTTGAGCCCATATGTGCTCAACATTTAATTAAATTAATGCTTTAACACAATATACATCAATACCATATTAATTGCAATTTTAATAACATTTCTTGCAAATGAATATTCAATTAAATATAAAACTTTATATACTTTATATGAGAACAAGTGGTGACAGTAACGAGTGGTCATTAAAACATCAGAACTTAATTTTAAATGATATGATACTATTGTTCATAAATTATAGAATTCATTATAATTTATAAATTATAATTTGTAATATAAAGTGTATAAGTTTGTGTAAAACTTGATGCTCACTTTACTATTAATAATTAAAGCTGTTCAGAATATGTATTTATTTATGGTCAAATATGTTATATAATATTTATTTAAAATGGTCAAATATGTGCTTATATATTTACTAAAAAGGGGTCAAATATTTACTTAAATATTTATTTATAAATCTTAATATTCTATATAAATTCTAATTAATGTATTCTATGGACACAATAACGAAATATTTTGCTAGAAATGTGCGGTAACCTTTTAAATCCTATTTAAATAATGTTAATTAAAGTCATAATATATATTTAAATTATGTCAATTGTTTCCAAGTCAAACTAATGATATACTATCCTATCATTATGTATCACATAATGTCATACAAGTATTTATTATTGTTTTGATTCATTATTAACAAACTTTTAGAAATTATTTTACCATTTAATATATATTTAGACATTTTAAGCCATGAATTTCAAGTAAATTAACGATTTTTATGCTTTATGACCAAATATTTATTTATATTTATTTATAAGTCAAATATGTATTTATATGTAAAATAAAACTTTGTTAAAATGGCCCTTATTATGNATGTAAAATAAAACTTTGTTAAAATGGCCCTTATTATGTAATTCGTTTGCCCCCAAAGTCCCAAACATATATCTTTAACCGATAAATATATTTTAAAACATATTCTGAACAGCTTTATTAATAATGCATACATATTCAGTGTATTTGCTATGAATTTAATGTAGTCATTAAGTTTTACTATAAATTATACCTAATTTTTAACCAAACATAATGTTATTAATGTTTACGCATTCATTATTACCATATATTACCACTCAATTAAAACCTAAATTATAATTTATCAATAAATAGCAATGAGCATGGAACAAATTCTCATAAAAAAGTTTTACCAACTATCATGTACATTTTACAATGACTTTAATTTAGGGGTTAAGAATGTAGGGTATAATTGCAAAAGAATTATAATCTTGCTTTAATTGTATGAATGGTAAGAATGTGGTCATTTTGGATAACCTAAATAGTAGTGATTTTACGAATTACCTAAATATATCATTTAATTCACACAACAATCAAACGGTATATGCATTTACGTTAATATTGAAAGTAAAGTACAGTATGACTGAGAGTACAGAGTGTCTGAATGCAGAGCAAAGGCATACGTATAGCGAATACAACAATAGCTGACGTCATGTGACCAACAGATGACTCGATGAATGACTTTGCGTTTCAGTCGACTCTTCAACACAACTCAACTCAACTTCTCTTCACTTCGAGAAGTAATCCATTGTTTGGACACAACTTTGACCACAACTTCACACCCTTTACAGCACACCTCTGGCCACACATCACACCAGCCATACAGCCATACAACCAATGGTAATGTCATTCAAACACTTCTTGCGATCAATCAATGCTATGACTAATGTTTTTGTTGTTATTGTTGTTGTCGTTGTCGTGGATGTGATTGTCTTTGCAGTTGATTCGTGTCGAGTCCTCTGAAGGCACGAAAGCGGTCGAAGTGGACGCCGACGAGTCGACCGAAGCCTTCATCAAAAAGGTGTGCACTCGTGATGGCAGTGATGGCCACTCAGTGCTGACAATGACTCACGTCTTTCTCTCTCACCATTAGATCCAAATTGCGTTCAGTTTTGACGACTTGTTTGGATTCAAAGTATTCAAAGACCGCAAACA